TCCTTCCTTCCTTCCTTCCTTCCTTCCTTCCTTCCTTCCTTCCTTCCTTGCCATAGCATATTATCTCCCTTGCTCCCTTCCTTCTTCCCTTCCTTCCTTCCCTCCTTCCATGCAAATGAATCTTAATTTAACTCTGGCCAAAATGCATTTGCCCCGAACAATATTTTCACAGAAATAGGACAGAGGAAACGGGGATATTAAATGAGGTAGGCATTAAGTGAGTCATGCCCGATTCTACAACTTTTTTTTTTTTTTTGCGACGGTCGGTGGGTGAGTCCCACGGTCGTTCAATGGATCCAGATTTGCCGGGAGCTGGCTGGGAAAGTCCCAAAGGGCCATCGGGTCACCTGAGGGGCTCCAACCCTTGTCCATAAATACAGGCCGGCTGCCAAGGCTCTGACTTATGACCACAGAACTGTGAGGACGCTGGGCTGGTCGTAACCGCAAGGACTCAGTTACTGTGCTGGTCCTAACTGCGAGATGTGTCTGCCGCCGTAACTCCCAACAGTCCCTAAGCGAATGGCCGTAAATAGAGGACCACCTGCAATTGCACTTTAAGGAGCTTTTTCCCAAGCGGGATCTCAATGTCGTCTCTTTCCTTTTCTCTTCCCAGGACGGGAGAATCGAGTTCTCCGAATTCATCCAGGCCCTTTCAGTCACCTCCCGAGGGACCCTGGATGAGAAACTGCGCTGTAAGCCATCCGATGGGGGGAGACTCTTCTTCCCAGCCTCTTCCTTTGATTGTTGGCCTCCTGGTTAGACGGCCCTTTGCCCGGAGTGATGTAGGATCTCCTGCTTGAGCAAGGGGTTGGACTAGAAGACCTCCAAGGTCCCTTCCAACTCTGATATTCTATATCAGGGGGGTCAAACTGGACTCCTTCGAGGGCCGGATCCGCACTGTAGTTCTGCTCCTCTGGGGGGGCCAGCCCTGTGCCTGGGTGGGAGATGGGACAGAAACTGTGGGAGAGATTTTGGCCTTTTCGGAGGAGCCTCGGTCCCTAAAACCGCATCTCTTTCCTTGCAAACTTGGTCCTTTCTCTTTCTTTCAGGGGCCTTTAAACTGTATGACCTGGACAACGACGGCTACATCACCAGAAATGAGATGCTGGACATTGTAGATGCTATTTACCAGATGGTGGTGAGTAGAGAAACCACAGGACGGGGAAAGAGGCGGTCCGTCCAGAAGGCTCCCGACAATGACGTTGACTTTCTGTAATGTCCTGAACCCCAAATTGGCTCCTTCAACCATGGGACATACCAAGGGCACCCCGATCTGGTTGGCCTTGGGGAGGTGCTCTAATCCAGCGGTCACCAACTGGGGGTCCGGGAGAAAATTTTGTTGATCTGCAGAAAAAATATTTGCATTTTTTATATTGCACTAACTCCGGGGTCTTCCAACTACGGCCCCTGGGTTGGATACGTGCAATGGATGCTTGTGTTGCTGCAGAGAGTCTCCCCCTTCGGGGTCTTTTTGTGGGGGTCGGATGGGGGGCAGAAATTCCGACTTGGGGTCTGCTTCAGCCTCCTGGTGGGGAGGGGTCTTTGGGCGAAGGCTGGAGGGAAGAGCCGCTGGTGGTGAACAGCCGGAGGGCCTCGTTCCAGTGGGACAGCATCATGGCCTGGAACTGGCTGAGCATCTCAGCCCACTGAGCCTCCAGGCACCTGGCCTTGCACTCCCGCAGGTCTTCCCTCTGCTTGGAAAGCCCATGCTCCTAGTCCTCAGTGAGGTGCTTCTGCTGAGCCTCCTTCTCGGCCAGATACAATTTGAACTGAGCTGTTTTGCCAACTCTTTCTCCTGGGGGCTGCTTAGCTCCAGCAGATGCTTCCTGATGGGGCCCTAAGGAGCCTGGGCGGGCAGGCGAGGAGGGGCTGGGAAGGGAGGGGCAAGTAGAGGCTAGCGAGGTGCCCCTTGATGTGAGTGACATTGAGTTGGCC